TTTTTTCGCGGTGAAAATGATAAAAATACCGATACACGCTTGGTTTTTAACCATTTCGCGATACCTTTCATCGTCTTCAATATCTTCAACACTTTTTGCCCAAATCCTATCATTTTGATAATTTGGTTTGCGAACTGTCCAAACATAAAATTCATCTGATGGTGCCAGATGAAGAAAATCTTCTTCAGTCCAATCTTTCAACCAATCACAGAGCCATAATCGATCTGATATATGAGTTTCAGATTTTAACGGTCTTGAAATAACATGAAAAGGCTTTAATCCTTCCCTACGACGGTAGTTATTAACTGTTTGTCGAGTAACATATTCTTTTTGTTTCTTTGCAATCTCTTTCGCCACGACAGAACCGCTTTTCCGTTGGTGACCACTTGCTTCACGAATAATGTCCTGAGCAGCTCTCGATAACTTGAGTTTAGGACCAGCATTCGAATAATCAGCAAAACATTGGTCACACGATTTTTCCCACCATTCTGTAACAAATCGAGTCGTACGGTGAATTTTGTCGGCAATCCATTGTCTATTTATAAATGTTGCACCAGCATCACGAGCTTCTCGGAAAGTAATGCATTTAATTCTATCAATCATTCTTTGTTGTTCGGTATCATAAGCGCCAGCCATTTGAAATAACAAACGAAAAAACACTGAGATTTCACTCGACTATAACTTTCAGACAGTCCGAGAACGAAAAAATTTTTCAAATAACTAGTATCACGTGGAGAGAAGAACAGAACGCCAAAGAACCATCTTATTGTGTGAGTCATAGTCATATATCATCATCGTTATCATTTCTCTTTCGTTTTCATAAAAAATGTTCGTTTTCAATGTCTCAAAATGTATGAAAAATGATTTTTAACGTGTTTTTGAAAGAAAATTTCGTTGTTTTTAAAAATTTGGTACACGAAAGTTCTTCAAAGTCTTACTATTTACTATCACTAAACCCCATTTTTCACGAGCTTTCATTTGGTATAAAATTCATGATATCTCCGATTCGAGATCATACTGTTACCCCCCTGGAATAATATTATTTACCACCCTGTATCAAGAAAGTTATGCGAGTGATCACTATTATAATGAAACTAACTGTCTACTCAGTGCTATTTCTATTAATCGATAGCTTGCTTTCAAAATAATTGATAAATATCAACTACTTCTGCTGTTTTGTTTTGTTTTCCACCCTCCTGCGTACTATAAAGTTATTCCAGCTCACTTGAGTGATATTTTCAAATATATATCTAGTGAAAAATATCGCATATTTCCATTCATTTAACTAACCTAGATAACTTTCGAAATGAGAAGTTGAATAATTGTAAACAAAAAAGATAGCTCTGATTGAGTCAGTGAAATGCATACATGAATGGACTAGCATGGCATCTTGTCGAGCATCTTAAATCCATGGAAATTGATAAATAAACTGACTTATTAAAATCTTGACTTGTGATAATTGTTCAGTAATAATGGTTTTTCATTCTCAAAGGTGTGCTGCAATAGCAAGTAATAAAAATGTCGACAATACTTCTCTCGAAAATACATGCAGTGATGAAAACCCAAGTAAAATAAGAAGCCTTAACTCATGTGCTTTAAACTGATAATATTTTAAAATTGTACTTGCTATTCGGTATGTTGTCAACGAAAATTTTTACGTAGATAAAGAGATATTCATAGGTTCAAGTTTTGATTTTAACGACCACGATTGATGATGATGTTCTACATCAAACCATAGATGAAGTCCGCTTTAAAATACGAAAGATACAATTTGTTTTCAGTTTTTGATTAAAAAAATTTTTTTCAAGTTTAAATTATAAATTGTGTACTCGATTTGAGCCTTGTTCTAAGGATAACATATAGTTTATCAATCAATAATTATACTTGTAGTGCTTAAATGCTGTGCTTCTACAAGTAATTAACTGTTTTTGGGGAAGGTATAGTGTTCAATTTATTTCGAATCGTGTACGTTCTTTTCATTTTATTTTGTTACGGAAGGAAGATACACAAGGAAATACTCAAACCCAAAAAGAAAATCTAATAGACAAATCTCTTTTCTATATTTCCTAGACATACACATCATCTCTATATTTCCTATCGGGTGTACATAAGAAACAAACTTGCAAAATCTGCACGAAGTGCTCTAACAACTTATATAAATTTTCGAAAAAGAATCATAGAAGAAGACACTTTAGAAATTAAAAAGCATACTTGTATATTAGCGTGATTGAAAAAGAACTTTGCTGAACGCTTTTATTGCATAACAAAAAAGAAAGGCGAAAACAGTACATGACATTTGATAAAAAGTAATACCTATATAATAAGTGATCAAAGATAAGCAGCATTTAATATTATAAATTATAGACTAATAATACTAAATAAATGAAAACTATTTCCAAAACAGTTTGCAAAAGATTTTAAAAAAATTTTAAAACATATACAATTTATTTTATGCAAGTTTATCTTCACACAAGAATATAAATGATAGCAAATAAAATACATTTTATACAGAAACGTTCTATGGATAAATGCATTTGTACATAAGATAGATATGAAGTCACGATCCATATAGACTTTATGTTTCACTCGACAGTGATTGTGGTCACATGTGGCTTAATGGTACGTATACTTGATTCTAAATCGCTAGTTCACTTGTTCTAATCTCATTTCGATCATTTTAGATAAATCAACATTTCAACATTCCGTTGGCCTATAGTGAGGCAAAGACCATCGTTAGAGGATATCGATGGCGCCTCAGATCAAACCTGAGACGGATTGTAATATTTTTTAAAAATTTTAA